GTCCTTATCTTCATTCCAAAAGAGTGAGACAAAAAGATCATTGAAATTATTCTTTTCAGAAAAATGAGGATGGAACTTCCCAAGTTAGCAGACCACATGTTGTGCTGTGCTTAGTCGCTCAGTCGCGTCTGACTCTTTGCGACCCCATGGACTGTAGCCCGCCTGGCTCCTCTGTCCACGGAATTCACCAGGCAAGAACACTGGGGTGAATTGCCATGCCCTCCTCCAGGGGATCTTCCCAACCCAGGGATCAAACCAGGTCTCCTGCATTGCAGGCGGATTCGTTGCCATCTGAGTCCCTAGGGAAGCCCATAACTGCTGGAGCTGAACAGAACCTGTGAGTTCTAACTCTTGCCTGGACACGCTCAGTCTCTTCAATTGTATCCCACTCTTTGTGACCCTGTGGACTACCACCCCCAGTCTCCTCCATCCATGGAATTCTCCAGGCAAGAATACTTTAGTGGGTAGCCATTCCCTTCTTCAGGGGAATCTTCCCCACCCAGGAACTGAACCCATCTCGAGTCTCCTGCATGTCAGGCAAATTCCTTACCCACTGAGGCTCCTGAGAAGCCCCATGGAGCACTGAAATAAAGTCAATGTGTGTAATTTAGTGCCAGTTTTTTTTTGTTTTTTGATGTTTTTTGTCCANCAATGTGTGTAATTTAGTGCCAGTTTTTTTTTGTTTTTTGATGTTTTTTGTCCATGACACTTGACACATGGGATTTTGATCAAACCAGTCAGGGAACTAAGATCCCATGTTTTCATATTTTTATCTGAAAAAAATAGTGTTTGATATGTACATTATGAAGCCCTTTAGATATAAAATACTTATGTTTTAATGACACTAAGATTATTTTACTTTGATAGCATCATAGTATTCTATATTTTTAGACACATATACAAGTATTGATTTATCATCCCTTAATAAATTGATCCCAAAATGTTATATACACTCTATATGATATCTTTGATTTTATCCTTATTATATAAATCTTTGAGGTGCTTTGTGCCAATTTTGCAATGAGTATTTCAAGGTACAGGGAATTAACCAACAATTCTTTTCTAAAGAACTATTCATTTAGTATTTGAATGGGAAGCCATGTCAAAGCATTCAACGTACTTGGTTAGTTTCCTTCCCTAGATAAACCTGCCAAAAGAAAATGTGTAAAATCAGAATTAAGTACACCTAACTCATCTTTGCTTTCCAGTTTAAGTCTAATGAAATTCTGAGTAGCACAGAGAATCCAGCTTTCTGTTAAACTTTATTCTTCATTAGTAAAGAACTAACAGTTACATCTGTATTCAATCTATTTTCTACAAGCACTGAAGCCAGAGTCTAAGGTTGGAATATAAAACACAATTAATGTTGGAATTTCCAACATTTTTTACTGGTATTTATTCAATCAAAAAGCATCTGTTATTTGTTCATTTCTGTGAGCAAACAAGCTGGACTCAAGATTGCCAAGAGAAATATCAATAACCTCTGATATGCAGATGACACCACCCTGATGGCAGAAAGTGAAGGTGAACTAAAGAGCCTCTTGATGAAAGTGAAAGAGGAGAGTGAAAAAGTTGGCTTAAAGATCAACATTCAGAAAACTAAGATCATGGCATCTAGTCCCAAAACTTAATGGCAAATAGATGGGGAAACAGTGTAAACAGTATCAGACTTAATTTTGGGGGGCTCCAAAATCACTGCAGATGGTGACTGCAGCTATGAAATTACTTACATGAACTTACTTCTTGGAAAGAAAGTTATGACCAACCTGGATAGCATATTTAAAAGCAGAGACATTACTTTGCCAACAAAGATCCGTCTAGTCAAGGCTATGGTTTTTCCAGTAGTCATGTATGGATGTGAGAGTTGGACTGTAAAGAAAGCTGAGTGCCAAAGAATTGATGCTTTTGAACTGTGATGTTGGAGACTCTTGAGAGTCCCTAGGACTGCAAGAAGATCCAACCAGTCCATCCTAAAGCAGATCAGTCCTGGGTGTTCATTGGAGGGACTGATGTTGAAGCTGAAACTCCAATACTTTGGCCACCTCATGCAGAGTTGACTCATTGGAAAAGACCATGATGCTGGGAAGGATTGGGGGCAGGAGAAAAAGGGGATGACAGAGGATGAGATGGTTGGATGGCATCACCAACTCTATGGACATGAGTTTGGATGGACTCTGGGAGTTGGTGCTGGACAGGGAGGCCTGGAGTGCAGCGATTCACGGGCTTGCAAAGAGTCGGACATGACTGAGCGACTGAACTGAACTGAACTGATGAGCAAAATTAATTAAGAAACTACTATATTCACTGAAGTGTGAAGTGCTCAGAGATATGACTAAATAACTCAGAAATAATCCTTTACACCACATTATAGAGGGTAATTTATTAATTACTATTAATTACCAATAATTTATTAATAAAAATTTGTTCAAAGAGTTGAACAATAAGTTATTCTTATTAATTATAATAATTAATATTACCAATAACTTATTAATAGCATTTTCACATTTACTGGGCCAGGAAAGAATCTGGTATATTGACTAATCTTTTAGCAACCATGGGTGCTATTATTGAATCATGGCTGCCAAGGCCTAGTTGGAGGGAAAATGGGAAGATGTTGGTCACATGTTCAAATTTCCAATTATAAGATGAATATGTATAAAACAGATAACTAATGAGAACATACTCTATAGCACAGGGAACTTAATACACTGTGGTGACCTGATGGGAAGGAAGTCTAAAAGGAAGCGAATTTATGTACATGTGTGGCTGATTCATTTTGCTGTCCAGTAGAAACTAACACCACATTGTAAAGTAACCATACTCTAATAAAATTAATTTTAAAAAAGTAAAATAACAAGTATATAAGATGAATAAGTTCTGGGGATTTGCTATACAAGTTGGTTGATAAGAGAGTAAATCTGAAATATTTCCACACCATAACAAAAAAAAAAATAATTTGGTGATTGTATGGAGTGATACATGTGTTTCCGTAGCTGATTGTAGTACTCATTTCATAACATATGTGTGTAAAGCATCATATTGTACACCTTAAATGTATAGAACATTATGTATCAATTATGTCTCAATAAAACCTGTGAGGGGAAAAAAAAAAAAACTGTTGGTGGTTTCCTTTTATCACCTAAACAAAACAAAAAACAAAGAGAAACAGCTAATACTCTCTACCCTTCTTTTTTTCCGTGTAAAGTCAGGCTATAAACTCTCATTTGACTGGAAACAGACCCTTTCGCCCACTGACAGCACAAGACAAATATTAAATCTTATTTATTTACTTTCTTCCCAGATATTTACCTTCCCACAGTTTGCTGCCCTGGGGAGCTTAAAATTGTTTATTTTTGTTCTAATATCTCTCTACACATCTCTTGTCCTTTGTGATGCTACATAATCTGCGCTTCTAAATCCTCCCTTTGAACTACTCTTCCATTTAGGTTTCCCCCAAGTCATGTGCACTGCATGTGTTAGTGAACTTTTTCTCTTGTTAGTCAGTGTTTGATTCAAGAGACCCACGTGAAAACCAAGGATAGATAGAGGTTAAGTTCTGTCTCCCCTGCACTAGTTTTGACCTCTGATGAAGAGAAAGCAAAAATCTCCATTGAGCATTTGTAATCACAAATCAGCCCTCTTTTTTAGTTTATAGCTCAAAGCCTGCCTGACAGCAAAGCCCAAGAGTATTGTATTCAAAAATGTATTTAAAGTGTTCAAGATGAATAATCGTCTGCCTACTAACAATACTAATACCTTCCAAAAGAAAGCAGCTTCAATCCACTTTTCAAAAAATTTTGAAAAATAATGTTCCAGATTTCTTGGACAAAGACAAATATTGAGGAGGGGGAGTGGGGAATGATCTAAGAGGGGAAGAGAGAGAACAATATGATAATATTTTAACATAGAAGTAGTCTGGATAAAGGATATATATGTAAGTGTGTGCATATACTTTTTTAGGGTTTTTTTTTGTGTGTCAAAATGCAAAGCTAAATGAAACAAACAAAACACCCCTGCAATCATCCTTGAAGTCCCTCTTTCCCTTTCACACCACATCTAATATATCAGTAAATCTGAACACTGCAAATATATGAACCAGCCTTTCTTTCTTATCATCTCCATTACTATCAGACCTGCTGCTATTGATAAATTGCCAAAAATTGATTTTCCTTAAATATTTTTATTTTACCTTAATCTTTGAAAGATATTTTTACTAGATATAGAATATTATTTTGGTAGGTTTCTTTTTTTTGTCATTTTCAAAGTGAAATAGCATTAAATTCTGCCTTCCATTATTTCTGTTAACTACTTGGACTACTGATGTTCTCTTTCTCCGGTTATTACTGGTATTTTTCTCTCCATCTTTGTTGTCAGCATTTTGCCTACAACATGCCTTGTTGTGGGCTTCCCTGGTGGCTCAGGGGTAAACAATCAGCCTGCAATGCAGGAGTCTCGAGAAATACAGGTTCCATCCCTGGGTCCCAAAAATCCCCAGGAGGAGGTCATTGCAACCACTCCGGTATTCTTGCCTGGAAAATCCCATGGACATGTTGGTGGGCAGCAATCTGTGGTCACAAAGAGTCAGACATGGCTGAAGAACTTAGCACATGTGCCTTGGTATGGTTTTGCTTTTGTTTATACTGACCTGAGCATGCTACGTTTTGTTTTGCTGGGATGATGGGGGCCGAGGCGGGTGTTACTGGTTCCATTCTTTTTCTACTCTTGCCTCATGACTCTGGTTCTATGTAAATTTGTCTTGTTGAGTTTCTGACATATTTTGTTCTTCTATCGACCTGTTTTTCTTTTTCTACTTCATTTTGTCTCTATGCTTGAGTTTGTGTATTTTTATATTGACCAGTCTTTGAGTTCACCAATACTGTATTTTCCATTTCAATCTGATATTTAATTTATCCCCTGAGTTTTTACTTTCAGATATTATAGCTTTCAAATGTCCATTAGGTTGTTTTTGTGTTTTGTTGGGTTTTTTTGTTTTTAAATAAATAGTGAGCTTTTATTATCCTCAGCAGCAGAGGGAAGTCAAGCCTGAGCTCTGTGGGCACAAGTAGCTCCCCCCTGGAGGTGGAACCTGCGGCCGCACCTGGAGAAGCTCCCCAGAGCCTCCCTTCATCTGGCCGCCCTGCCCGAGGCGCTTCTAAGGAGTTGGGACCCACGGGGATCAGCAGAGAGGAGCACAAGGGGAAAAGCTGTCCAGCCTGAAGTCAGGCGTGTCCAGAGCTAGCACCTGGCAACACACAACTCACATCCTCCCTGGAAGCAGGTGAGAACCTGCACCTGGGACACCACACGTCTTCCCTTTGGGCGTCTCTCTCTCTCCTGTTCCTCTCCGACTCCATCTTCCTCCACGGGTCCTCTCATCTTTGGCCACAGTGTTTGGTTTTAGAGAAGAGAATGTTGAACAAGCCAGGCTCCCGTCATTCTGAGTCCGAACTCTCATTTGACTTGGAAGACTTATGCTTTCGTTTTTTCTTCTTCTTCTTTTCTTTCTTCTTCTTCTTCTTCTTTTCTTTCTTCTTCTTCTTCTTCTTTTCTTTCTTCTTCTTCTTATGCTTTTCTTTCTTCTTCTTTTTCTTGTGTTTCTCTTTATCTTCTGAGGAACTGGAGCTGCTCCCATCATCATCTGATGTTGAATCCTCCACTAACTGTTTTAACTGTTGTATCCTTATATCCTTTTCATGTCTTTTATTCTCACGAATGATGTCATACATGGGATCTTCATGTGCTACTCTGAACTGTTCTAACTTTTGGTTGCCTTTGATAAAGAAAGGGCATTCTTTGTCGCCCGTTCGGTGGCCATACCGTTTACAGCGCCAACACTGCATGACTTTGACTTCATTCCCCAGTGGCATCCAAAGTCCTTTGGTTGGTGCGTGGGCCAGAAACTCCCTGGCATGTTCATTGCCTGGGACATCTGGTATACAGTCTTCTGGCTTAGTCTCATCTTCCTGAAAAGGAAACAGTGTGTAAGCTCTATGGCAAAAAAACCACCAGAGCCCTCTCCCACCTGCTTGAGAACACAGCACTGCCTGGCTTCCTCATGGGCTGGAGATCCCTATGTCATCATGGTATCCTCTGAAGAGCTAGAAAGTCAAATTATAACTGAGAAAGAAAATATAAGTAACTATTCCAGAAGAGCTGCTGCTGCTGTCGCTTCAGTCGTGTCCAACTCTGTGCGACCCCATAGACGGCAGCCCACTAGGCTCNGGATAGGAATCCACCTGCCAATGCAGGGGACATGGGTTTGATCCCTGGTCCAGGAAGATTCCACATGCCATGGAGCAGCTGAGCCTGTGCGCCACAGCTATTGAGCCCACGCTCTAGAGCCTGCAAGCCACAGCCACTGAAGCTTGTGTGCCTAAAGTCTGCTCCAGCACAAGAGAAGCCACCACACTGAGAAGTCGGCGCACTGCAACTAGAAAACAGCCCCCACTCTCTGCAACTGGAGAAAGCCTGTGTGCATCAGTGAAGACTCAGTACAACCAAAAATAAATAGATACTTAAAATAAATGTTTAAGAGTCTACTCTTCAGCTTTGTCATCCCTTCCCCACTTTTAAACAGTAACATCTCCAGTTCATTTTTTTTTTTTTTTTTTTGGTCCTGAAGCCATACCTTCCTTCTACCAAAGGACAAACTTGTGCTTTTTAACTTGCTTTTCAGCTATCCCCAGACTCATTGTCACAGGTGTGACCTTGGTGCAGGTCTCCAATCTTGGTTCACTATTCCATCCATGGCTTCTATATACTGTTTTTTGTTTGTTTATAACTCTTTCTTCTGGTTAGTCTTTGCTTCCTCAAGAGCAGGAAAACTTTGGGAGGTTTCTCTTTTTTTTCCTTCAGAATCTTTTGACTTTGTTTCAAAGTCTTCTCTCAGTTTTATCTCAGACTTGAAGAAATGGCTTGTGGGAAAGGTGACAATTTGAGGACCTTCAAATCTCTAATATTGTTATTCTAGTCTATGTAACCACTGAAAGCTTTTCAGTTTCTCTTTCTTCGGTCATAGGCTGTCTGCTTTGGCCACGATCTGATTCACACACACACGCACAAACATTAGCAATAATGGCAGATTGATAACTAATGCTCCCTATTCTGGAATTCAAAATAATATAATGTGGGAGATCTGGTTTCCATCCCTGGGTTGGGAAGATCCCCTGGAGAAGGAAATGGCAACCCACTCCAGTATTCTTGCCTGGGAAATCCCATGGACAGAGAAGCCTGGTGGGCTACAGTCCATGGGGGTCACAAAAGAGTCAAACACAACAATTAAACAACAATTATCCAATGTTACTAAAGTACTGTTTATTGTATTAATCCTGTTACAAATTATGGATTAAAGTTAAAGCATAACATATAGACTTCAATGTTTAATGACATCTATTTTAGATAAACACATTTTTACATAGTTGAAGACATCTCACTGGAATATCTCAGACACTTTATCTAATTAAAATATATTGTCTTCTTACAGATACAATAACCACTACTATGGCAATCTTCAGCAATTACCTGGCCGTATTTTATGTGTGCACATTTATTATTAGCATTCTCATGTCCTGGAAGTTGAAGCCTAGAAAAAAAATACTTTCCATTAAGTTCTGAA